AAAGCATCAGATTATATGGACGGCAGGGCTCATCGCGAAGTGTACTTACGCCCTTTTATCAGGACTCAGAATCGGCCGACTCTACCGCGCGATCAGAGAGCTGCATCAGCATTAAAATCTGAAACGTTTCTGATTGTTTAGTGTTATTCTAAGAAATATGACGAGTTACGCATTTTAAGAATTGTATTCCACCTTTTCGTGTTATTTGAAGTGAAATTTTAATTTCGATTTCTGGTAGTGATTGGCTTCGCGCGGCAAACCTAGCGCCACGCGCTGCCTGTGGAACCGTAGCTTAACGGAGGAAATGCAAGGATTATTCCCCTGGAATTCTCCCTGTTTTTCAGTTTTTTTTCTGCTATACTGTTTTGTTTTCAACTTAGTCGCTCGAACTAGCCGTATCCTTTGTGCGCGCGAGAGAAATCTATTTCAACGACCGGGGTGCAGTTATTCAGGAATAAATAGAACAAACATGGAAGGGAATTTTAGGAGAGAAATAGAAAAAATGATGCATCTACCTATGGGAAATTATGAACATGAAAATTAGGATAGTCAAAAGATGAGAAAAAAAGAGCAATGTAATTCAAAGTGTTTACTTCGGTGATTTGCCTTGTTTCACCGTTCACTGAGAAAGAAAATTTTCCCATTGATAATGCCCGGACGGGAATTATCGTTGAATCAATGGAATATACTTTAAAAGTTATAGATATCTCTTCGCAATGACAGAATCACTGTTTGAAACAAGGGCATTTCCTGTTGACTTAATGTGACAATTAAAGCAATTTTTGCTGTCATGTATGCAACTTTTCAATTTTTCAAAATATTTTTTCTGCAATTTCAAACAGAATCGAATCGTATAGCAAACACGAATGTACCACTTTCAGAGATAATAAATGTGCAGCATACAAATCCGTAAAAAGGCTTGAAAAAAAACACACAGGTGACTGGGACGTTTCGGGGTGGGTTCAACCCCCACCTCGACCAGATTACAATACAAATATATAAAAATCAAGACCCATAGACCCCCATTCGTGTTGAAAAAAAATGGCTGGGCTCTGCGAAAAGATTTACCACCGACAGATTTGCATAATTTTCGATAGATGTTTCGGGTGATAAAGTTTTTTCCCCATTATCGAAATGAATTGAAGAAATTTTTGGATATTAAACAACTTTTGTAGAACGCTCCTCTGTTAAAAAAACGGCGCGGGTTTTTTTTGGGTTGGATGTTCAGGTTTGGTGAGCTTCATTATGAGCATGAAACGGACTGAAACTAAAGCTCACTCGATCTTCCTTGTTAAACCGCCTCCTCAAATAATCGACCTACTTACTCACAACCAACACGAGAGGGCGCTGCCTCCCAACTTTTAACCCGAATGAATGCGCGACGAAAAATCAGAGCTCGACAGTCATCGCTTTCGTTTCATTAGATCATCACATAAAGGCCGCGATGGTGGTGGCTCGGCGCACAGTGAAAAGAGCCGTTGAGAGAAGTTGGAAGAATTTTGTTTTACTAAAACTGCAAATTTTGGGGTTTCTTTTTCTCACATTGTAAATTTTAAGGAGAGAATCTTGGAGAAAATTGTACGAGGGAACCAATGAAACCATTTTCAAGCGTCTAGGTTCCACAGTTAAAAGATTACAAACTTTTAAAGTTTCCAGACAAAATTCGGCGTTGTATCCCACTGTGTGGCGGCACGTCGCTCGCACACATCCCACTGGACAGGGATTAATGCGCATATATTATTAACAGGAGAACACGTGAAATTGGGCATGCAATCCCGAAGACGGGGTAGTGAGGGGGAGGGGGTGAAAAGAAAACTCGAGTTCGATGATTGATGGAGCGGCAAAGGGTAAAAATGTTGGAGGCCCCATCAAGACGACCCCCTTTCGAGGTCGGGAAGGAGGGGGCTGCTTTTCGATGGGGGTTTTGGCTCGGTAAATAAATGCCTCTTCCGCGAGACGAGTCTTTGTGACGACAGACGGCTCCTCAACGTTGCCTATTTTTAGGACAGGAATGGATTGGGAGGTTTCAAAAAATCTCAAAGGTTTCAAAAGTTCTGTTCTGTGCATGTAATTCAATACTGTTTTGTATTTAATAATGCCCGATAAAAAGATCAATATGATAATTAAATAAAAATTTGCAAATTTTTTCATAGCAGTGCTATGAAATTTAAGCTATTAAACTTGTACGTCAATAATAATTTCTTTAACTCTCCTCTCTGATTACTTATATGTATTGATAAAAAAAGTGCGAAATCACGTTTCCCCATAGCGGATTTCCAAAATTTCCGTCGAACGGATGAAATGGTTCAAAACGGCCGATTTGACATGAGTTGTTTTTGGTTCGGAAGCTCAAATTTACTGTTTCTAGAGTAAATCATGGATGTTGATTCAAAAAGATCCAATACTTTTTCGTATTTTATAATGCCCGATAAAATGATTAATATGATAATTAAATGACTATGCATTACTGCTATGAAATTTAAGCTATGAAACTTGTACGTCAATAATAATTTTGTTAAATTCTCCTCTCTGATTAGTTATATGAATAAACAAAATGCGAAACCACTATCTCTATAGCGGCTTTTCAAAATTTCCGTCAAATGGATGAAGGGGTTCAAAACGATCGATTTGACATGCGTTGTTTTTGGTTTTTTCGCGAGCGGGAAGTTCGAATTTACGAATTACTGTTTCTAGAGTAAATCATACATATTAATTCCAAAAGTTTTGCTGGAGATGTTAAAGCACCAGGAATTAGTTTTGGTGGATCTTTATACAGTCAAGTGTTCTGCATGAAATTCTGATGAAAAAATATGTCTTGTAGGGGTATAAAACCTTACCCCGGGTGTCCGACAAGCAATGGGTTTCAAGAAAACAAAAAAATTACGCAACCCTGGACGACCAAACGATTTTGCAGCGCCAGAAAAAGGCCCACGAAAAGCTTGTCGCGGGGAAAGTTTTATTTGATTTGGTTATTTGTTGATCTAACCCCCGACCAGCACACGATGCTAATGGGAACATCCATACGTCTTTCTGCTGTCCGGCTGATTGTCGATTCTAACTGTAAATCAACTGATGTACTGAAAAAGCACTCTGCATGGGGGTTTTTAACGTGCGATTAGACAACTTGGTTCCAAGCTATGTTGCAACGTAGCTTGATAAAATTCTCCTCTTTCACATGCGGATTCGGGCGTTCGCTTAGCAATGCAACGCTGGTCCTCTCCCCAACGACTCATCGGGTCTTGACAACCTCGTTCAGGGCCGCAGCCGCTGGATATGAGACAAGACTTCGAGAAAGGGTAGAGGGATATTCGAGGCCTTTTCATGTTTGTGACTCTGAGCTTCATAGATGATAAGCCACCGCAAATTGCTTGTGATCAAAAACAGAATTTGCGTGTCATTAGGTCCATGAGTGCGTCCCTTTAATGTATCATGAGAAATATCTGCGGTATGATGTTGCGGCGAATATTCAGAGGGAGGACAAATCAATTTGAGGATATGATTTTCTAGGTGCAGTCCAACCTAGCAGATCGAGTAACGAAACACAGATCTAGAGAATTTGTGAATAAATTAATTTTTAAGTAAATCGAACGGAAACTACCAGAGAAATCTTCTTGATAAAAGAAAAAGGTTTTTTGAAAATTGAAGAAAAGTAGACATCCTCATCGAAAAAACACACTGTGGGCCAATTGTTGAAAGTTTCAAGCAGCACGATAGGACATCGAAATGGAATAGATTGGACCGTTAAGATAGGAATACGTCATGTCTTATCGTATCATTATGAATTCAATGCTGGTTGACTGTAACTGCAATAATTTGAAATTGTGTTCTAGAGAAGAAAAGTCAGTTGGATGGAGAATGAATTTTGTTGTTCCATCCGGGCCAAATTGACCCAAGGCTTAAAAAAACACGTGCTTCTCGGGTTTTATGAGGCCGATACATAAGAGTTTTAGATATAGGTCTACAAATACATCTAAGTTCACGCTTCATGCCTACGCGCCTTCAATTTTGCAGATACATCACGGACATCCATCAAGCACAAATAGTTGTATCTCTTCGCCGTTATTGACGCGCGTCCTTTCCCTTGTTTTGCGTCATCGTAACGCAGTCTGAAGTGTTAATGTATCGACTTCTGACTGTATACCGGTAGAAATAGCAAGCTACCCCTCCTACATATCTACCACCCAACCATCAGACTCCTTTCCTACGGGTCCCGGACCTTTTTTGGCAAGAGCAAACACGACTACCTTCCACAACGAGAATAGCTCATTGAAAATCCCCCAATCCGAGTTTCCACCTTCAAATCAAAGCCTCATTCGTCGGTACAGACCCCCTCTCGCCCTGATTCACGATTGTTCCCGGCCCTTATCCCCGGGGACTCCGTTCCTCAAGTATCCACCACGCTGCCACATCTCTCAAAAACTCCGCCTCGAATGTTCACGATTTAACGCGGAATCAGCTGTTTTGGCAACAATGCAGAGCTTTGTGCAAGTTCCTCGTGTTGACAAAGTAACGCCGGGTTGCTCCATCATCGGAGTTACCGTGATTTCGAAGCGCATCGGCGGCAGGATATCAAACAGCCCGAGAATTTCACATTTTCTCCATGAGGGATATTCGATTTTAGGGCGCGTTTTGGCGACCGTTGAGGGGTGGGTTTGTATCGAAACCGACGACTCGTTTCGGGTCTATTGTAAGGTGAGCGATTGCCGAAAGTTGGTCGTTATAGGCCGATTAGAGCTCCATTGAAGTTTTGCGGAGGATTCACAAGTTGTCACGTCGTAAGTCGGTTGCTCAGCGTCCTGGTTATTGTGCGATTCGGAGCTCTTTGAGTTTGTTTGTGACAATGGATGGAATTATACGCCTTGCGCTGAGGGGCTCGCGTAGAGTTGGGCTCAGACTTCGGAGGAACTGAGCGAGAAAGGGTAGAACTTAAAATTGTAGTGAATTAATTGAATTTGAGGTGATGATGGCGCGATGAATTATGAAACCATTGGATTTCTTACCTTCTTCAGCGAGATGAGAGCTGTCAATATTCGTTCCGTCTGAAACAAAAAATAAATGAAATGATCAGTTGAAACCCAAGGGGTAAAACATAGCTGTTCTGCCGTGCTAAGGAAGAACGCCGTATGAACATTCGTGCGTTGCCAAATTCCTTTTGGTAAAATACGAATTTTCAGGGAAACTTGTGAAAATTTTCCGACCATTTTTCTAGAGAATCCACTCTGCAATGTAATCTAAAGTATCAGAGAATTTCAAGTAGACATATTCATTATTTTTCTCAACAATGAAGGAGGGAAAATTTGGCAAATCTCGGATATCCATATGGTGTTTTTCCTTAGCACGGCAGTGTTGGGTTCCTGAATTTCAATCTCTTATCATTTTACTTATATAAACCGTGCAAAAGTAAAAACGAATGTTTTTTTTATTTTTAGGTGATAGTTCCCTCTGAGAAAAGTATTTTTGCTCTTCATATCACTTTCGAGGAAAAATTTTGAAAATACGCGCGTCAATTTTCGTCACTTTTCTGACGAAAGGCCGTAACATTATTTCCACATGAACCCTGAAAAGCATGGAGTTACACGGAGCACAGGGCTCACGTGCAAATCAAGATGCGCCCTAACGTAAGAGGAATGACGCTCTGACAAAAAACTATTAGTTCCTCATCATTTCGTTCATGATCCATTTTTAAAAGGAAACGGATTAAAATATCCACCGCTATTTGAAAGAGATCAACTGCAATTCACGAGAGCATGGCAAAAATTAGACTAGGGTCAAAGTTCAACCCGTTTGCGATTCAAAAAAAAAAAGTGATTTACCTATAGCAGAATGTTTACTCAGAGAGGAAAAGGGGAAGGCCCGCGGAGGGCCTCCACTACCATGCTAAAAAAGAACGCCGTATGGGCAAAGGGCAGTTGCCGAATTTTCCCGGATAAAGCACGTATTTCCTGGGAAACTTCTGCATATTTTTCACTAAAATTTCCAGATAGTTTAGATTAAAGAGCAAACAGAGTTATCTGGAAAATTTGAAGAGAAATGTTCATAATTTTTCCAGTAAATTCGGTTTTTATTGAAAGAAATATGGCAACGTCCGAAAGTTTATACGGTGTTTCTCCTTAACGCAGAATACAAGTAAACGAGACGACCGTCAGAGCTGCATCGGACGGGAGTCGGAAGAGGGAGGGGGAGGGGGAATGGCACGTGGGAAGGAGGGGAGGAGGGAGGAAGCGATAAATTATTAGCGGGTCCGGAGCCAAAATCAGGGAGCTCCTGAAATTTCAGCGTTATTGATACCCGCGCGAGCTGAGCTCCTTCAAATCGCGATTTAATTTGTTGGCTCTGTGCGCGGCGCCAACTCGCGAGGCCATCCATACCGCCCTGGTGGCCTGATCGAAACGGTGTAAGTGTGCAATGAAGTACTGGGTTACCGCCGCTCGGCCAGAGTTGCCAAGAAAATCAAGGACAAAATCCTTACTCCGACTGTAATCTGGGGGTCTTTTCACACCAGTCGACTGAAATGTTTCATTCAACTAAGAAACTGGAGGAAAAACCAACCCCTTAAACCGCGTTACGGTGAAAAAAGAAAAAAAAAATTGATTTGCTACAACTAGAATTTTCTGGAATCAAAAATAATGCTGCCTAGTTTAGTTAAAGCTACTTGCTGTGCCTAACCAAAGCATTTATTTCTTGTCCTTAGAAAAATTTAGCTTAAATTGTGATAAAGTAAAAAAAAAAAATCCCTAATTTTAATTTTTGGTCATGGTTCCATCAAGAGATTTTACTCGCCCAATTTTCTACTTCTTTCCTTTTTACAATTGGGCTACATTTTGCAACTAGGAATTACTACCCCTCCCTCATCCGTAAAAGCACTTATCTACATGGGAAATCAAAATGCACCAATTTTTTTTTTATTTTTTATTTTTGGACTGAGCCGGAAATAGTAATTTCTCGTTAAAAAATGTAGTCCAATAATAGAATAGCATTATTATCACTGTCGCATAAATTCAAGAGCGGGTTGAATTTTGGCTCAAGTTTGCAACAAAGCATGCGGGGGACCGCGGCAACGTGATAGGGGGGGGGGGGGNGCGGGGGGACCCGAGGCGTGAGTTACGTGAAAGATAAGCGCGCGCGCGCAAATTTAATGAAGTGTTTACGTTGGCTATGATTAGTCGACTTGGTTTTGGATAAATTATGAGTTCCCTCATTACGCCCGTGGTGCAGTCTTGCCGCTCTCCATTGACGATTTTTACAACGCTCGGAAAACCGAGAGCGTCGGGGGCGTCGCTCGTAATTAAACCGCTGCATTTCTTGGCACACGGATCCAGATCCTCTCCCGAATAAACTGAATAATTGTGATTTTCCTGTCTACTATGTACATACAGACAACGGCAAATGAAGAGAATCTCATCTATTACAGGAATATTTTTCATCCCTACCCGACAAACTCAGGTTTAAAAATTGGGATATCAAGACGGAGAAGAAGAATAAAAGTACCAAAAAGAAGAAGACGAAGAAGAAAAAGAAGAAGACAGAACAGGGAAAACGTGAGATGAGAGAAATGGAGAAAGGGGCGGAAAAAATATTTCTTTTCTCTTTTTATTCTGCTCTTCACTCTTCTCAATCTTCTTCATATTTCTCTTCTCCTTCTTTCTCTCTCTCCTTTCTCTTCTTCTCCTTCTATTACTTCTCCTGGTTATCCTCCTTACTTCCTTCTTCTTCCTCCTGTTCTCATTTTCTTTCTTCTTTCTCACCTCTTTTTGTCTCCTCCTTTTCTTTCCTCCTCGTAATCCCCCTGTCCTTCTGTTCCTTCTTCTTCTTCTTCTTCCTCTTCTTCTTATTTTTCTTCTTTGCTTCCTATTCTTTTGATTCCTGATGCACCCTCAGCTGACATATCGACGGTGAAAATGCAGAAATGCGTGTCTTGATTCGCGGCGTTGCTGACTTCCTGTCATACTTCATTTATTACGTGAAAAACCACTTAACATTATTTCTTGAGAACTTCCAAGACGTTTCTTTCCCATGCGAACAATATCCTGTGAAAATTTCAAACCATGGTTTTGGTTCGACCTCTTTTCAAAAAATAAAATAGGATTAGAGATTTTGAAACACTGCAACCGGGATACGCATTTTTGCAGTTTCACCATCGATGCTGCCATACCGCCACCATTTAGTTCGACTATACTGTAGTACATGGACTAAGAATCAGTAAGGATGAAACTGTTAGATATGAGATGAAATTGAAAGGATACTTACATGGACACATGTCCCCGGTGCAGTTTGCGGACATGTAGTCTTTGCCGACACAATCTCGGCCATCAGCGCTGGGGGGTGGATTGTCACAGGTTCGACGTTTGTGATGCCGACAGTCAGGTCCGCAGGAGGACCAACTCGACCAAGCTGACCATCTTCCGTCAACTCCTGAAAAAATAAAAAACCATCAAATCAAAATCATTTCCGTGAAAATTCACAAGTCCACAATTTAAACACATTCAGGACCTATGATTATTTTGGGGAACAGTTTTTTTGTGGACTCATTACGGAAGCGTCTACAAATACGTCTAAGGATAATGATATCATCGTAAGATGAATGATAAATCTGGATGCAACTATTCGTGGCCGACGGATGCCCGTGTTGCATACTCCCTAAGTTGAAGGCGCGCTTACTTTCCTCATGCTAGAGCTCGAAGGCGGCGACAACGAATCCAAGTTGCTGGGCTCGCAAGATACGGCCTCTTGTTGTTAGTTGTTGATATTACAGTTTCTTTTTAAGATTTGATTCTTTACCTAATCGATATGTTTAACACACTTAAGTTTTAGAATCTATCTGGACTTTTTTACCATGAATTATGCTAGTATTTTCAGCTTATCAATGCGAAACAACGTATCTCCATTGCTATGTTTCAAAATCTCTAATCCTATTTTATTTATTCCAAGAAGATACAAGCCAAATTTATACCTCGAAATGTATGCTGCGGATATTCTACTGATAGAGAAGAAATCAAGGCAGTTTTCAAAAAATTACGTTGAGTAGTTTTCCAAAGAGAAAATAAAGTATGACAGGAAGGCTACAACGTTGCAAACGGAAATACGTTGTTTCGTACTTTGGCAATCGTTATACTTTCGTCCGAATTTTCAGTCCACTGGAAAAAAAACACATTGGATCTTGAGTCCAGTTTCTTAAAAACATCGACAAGAAAAAATACTCTTGATTCAATCGGATTTTTGCTTGAATCAAGAACCAAGCCTCTTAATTTGAGCGGATTTCCTTTTGATTTAAGCTTAAATCTGATTGAATCAAGAGTATTTTTTCTTTTCAATGTTTTCAAGAGTCTGGGCTTTAGATCCAATGTGTTTTTTTTTTCCAGTGTCCGTCGACGAGTGCATTAACACTGCCAGACACAATAAATGGCGACCTGAAAACTGTTACACGGTTTTTATAGTTGCATTTTATTTGATCCGAAATCGGAGCTAACCGGTGATGGCCGAAACAGGAGCATTTGATCGAATTTACTCTGCCTTGCTGAGGAAAAACGCCGCATGTTCATTGGGGGGTCGCCAAATTTCCTCCCGTAAAGTGTTTATTCTTGAGGAGAGTTACGGATATTTCCTCTTTAAATGCTCAGAAAATTGAGATCAGGTCGCGCGAATAAAATTCTCTGGAGGATTGTCTGAAAATATTCGCTGATTTTCCTGGAAATTCATATTTTATGAAAGAAAATTTGGCAACGTCTGAAAGCTCATCCGACGTTCTTACTTTGCGCGGCGGTGCTGTCGATCGGATCAGATCGGCGGGGACAGTCGGATGGGTCGCGCGGAAATCAGAGCGGGAGCCATGATATCGAGAGGAGAGGGAATGGGGCGTAATTGAGAGGAATTAATTGGAGGGAATAATTAGGTGTGCATAATTGATTGGTTCCCGCCGAGGAACGCGGAAGAGGTTGATGGGGTGCTACGGGGCTGGAGGTGGTAGGGGGGCACACACAGTTGCCAGATTTTAAATGGAGGTTGGATGGATACTCGAAAATTTTAATATATTTGCCATTGAAAAATTATTATTTGTTAATTTTCATCGTTCACTGCAATACTTCTTCACTCAGGTGCGTTAGAGTCGCCGAGTAGCTTGCAAGGGGTTGAATTTTTTCTCAGGACATTACAACCTTTCGAGGGGTGAAAGAGCAAGAGACGCCTCTGAGAAGGGCTCGGATGCCGTCAAAGCAGTGGCGTGGCGTAAATTGCGATACATCGATTGTTATGCCATTTAAACCTGTCGAAAATGATCGATAAACAGGATGTTCGCAGCGAACACCTTAATAATCGATTCCTTACCATAGGTTTAAATGGCATGACAATCGATACATCGCAATGCACGCCACGTCACTGCAAAGTTGAAGCGATTTAAATTGCGGAGGATTGTTTAAGCATCGTAATTGTTTCTGGTTGCGTATCCTCTCTCGCCGATGCACGAGCCCTCCTGTTTAACTCGTCATCTTCCCTTTTCGCCATTTTTTGCAGAATTTGTAAAGACGCCAAATTTACGAGCATATGAGGGAAGATTAAAGGGTCTCTTAAGTTACGATCGTCGATGAAAGATTGGCGGCATTTGTTTCATTACTGTTCCCTTTTTGACACAAATACTCAAGTGTTGAAGAAGTATTGATACTGAATTGCTCAACTAATTTTATACACATTCGTGAGTTTCCGACTTCAATAACCTCTTTCCGAGGAAAATTTTCCAACATAATTTCACTGAAAATGTTCAATTTTTATTATTCTGCATCCGAACCTTTCACGTCACGGGCTGTGCAATGTTTATATTCCATCTCTTCCTGTACATTTATGCGGCCAAATAAGGACCGAAATTTTCAGTGTTACGCAGACACCACTTATATTTATCAAGTATCAGGGCAACACTGGAAAAAAAGAACACATTGGATCTAGAGTCCAGACTCTTGAAAACATTGACAAGAAAAAGGACTCTTGATTCAATCAGACTTAAGCCTAAATCAAAAGGAAATCCGCTCAAATTAAGAGGCTTGGTTCTTGATTTAAGCTTAAATCTGATTGAATCAAGAGTACTTTTTCTTGTCGATGTTTTTAAGAGTCTGGACTCTAGATCCAATGTGTTTTTTCCAGGGAATGATGAATACAGGCATAAAAACAAGTTTCATCTTTACTCCCAAGAAACTTTGATTTCAAGACGAAAGTTACCTTTGAAAATTAAAATTTTTGCATGATTTCAGTAAATTTTTTGCCATGTAAGTTACACAATTCTAGCAACATAGAGATGCTCTTGATTCCTTTTTGCAAAATGCAATCCACACACATCCACTAAAAGAAATATTAGGGATGTAAATTGTATGACGTCATCTAGCGACGCTGCATATAGAGCGAAAGCAGTGCTCCTCTGGACTCAACAAGTGCCGGGCCCCTCTTTTCCCTGTCGAACCGATTTCCCACCTATTCCTCACGCTTATTTAACTTTGAAGCCCTTGCTCGAGTGGATCGCGGAATTCCGCGCTAAAATAAGGAGTTGGAGGACCCTCGTCTGCGCGCCCGCTCGACAAACCGTTCTTGGCAAACCAGCAATGCAGAAAACACCGCTGCCAATCTCTGTGTCTTTTCTGACGCTCAGTCTCCCCGACATTCTTCGAAGTTTCGACTCAAAACTTCAGAATTCAATGACAAATTCGGTGTTGGAAATTTTCGTTGCTTTACAGTTGCTTCCGCCAGAAATATTCAATTTTGAAGTTGCGGAACAGCAAACGTAAGAATAAATCGTGGTTATTAAAACTTTAAAATATTTGAAAAAACTCACGCTTACACTAAGAAAGTGTTCACGCTTACACTAAGAAAGTGTTCACGCTTTTCACCCTTTTAATTTTTCGCCCCATTTTTCCTCGGCCTTTCTTGTCCATGACTTCGTCTATCAATAATCAGCCCTCTGACTTTTTCAATCGAAAAATCGACAAGGCCACTACAAAAACATAAGCGGATCCAGACACCTCGAACGGGGGGCGAAAGGGGGGTCCGGGAGCCTCCCCCAGCATATTTTTGAATTTTTGAAGAATCCGATCTGCAATTTGAGTAAATTTCTCACGAGTAATTGCCAATTGTAAGCGTCTTTCCTTCTTCTTTCCTCCGTTCCCTCTTTCACCTTCCTTCTCNGGAAAAATGGGGGGGGGGGGGGGAGCCCTTACGACCCGGAGTGGATCAAGTCAATTACAGAAATCGGACATGAAATTTTTGACAAAAACTGCAAGGTTTGATGTTTATTTCGATACATTTTAAAGTTCAAGGGCTGCTTCACGAAGAAAATTTCACGAGGAAACTAATGGAGCCACTTTCTGAACCTCAAAATTTTGTTTACGGTGTTATGAGCTATTAAAGTTGCTAAATTTTATCCGCCCCCACCCCATCATACGCGTATGCACAGAAAGCCTTGCCACGAGTTGGAAAACGAAAAAATCTCGACATTCCTCGGAATATTTGTTGCGTGCGGGAAAACTACCCCACCTCGAGCGTGAGGCATCATCCCGGTGCCGGATCCAGGGGTAAAAAACAAGTGGCAGTCACCTGATTAATAAACTCTGATCCCGGTAAAAATTGTCACCCTCGGTGCGCGGCGTCTCCCGGCGGAATTTAGTGCTCTTTAGCGGGGCGCTGGGGCTGCCGCGAGGGGGCGAGAATGGAGAATTAATTCAATGAAGACTTTTTTTTAAAGCCCGATCATGGGCGGAACAATGGGCGACGGGGCGAGGTGTGTTTTATTTAAGAGGTGTTTTAATGCGGAGGGGCGCCGACGCCGGGTTTGTGTCCTCCTTGGGGATGGGTTATTAGTGGTGATTCAACCTGTTTTGCGGTTAACTGCGCCCCTGTTTTACCGTGTTTTACTTTGTTTAGGAACCATAAATTACCGCGCAACGACCGCGCGATCCGGCTCAATAAAAAAAGCACCGCTTCCGCCTTCTTTGCGAGTGGGTGGATTCCGGCTTTGCTTTTAATTTCGTCCCCGGATCTTAGGGTATAGTCGTCCTCAATGGGAAATTTGCGCGGAAAAAATTTTATTGCTTCATCTGAGAGCGCTTACTGAGCAGAGTTCGTAGTATTTTCAGGGTGTCTACTAAAACAGGCTAGACAAAATTCAGGACTTTTACAGTACTCTTTCTGTTCATTCCCGAGAAATTCAGTACCTCCTCAACGGAAAAATTCATTATTCTTTCAGTACCTCCATTTGACGAAATTCGAAAAAATTCAAAAATTTGAATTTCTCTCTCAAATTGCGACAAACCTGGAAAATTCCGGACCTTCTAACGGAATTTCCGCACTATTTCATTACTTTCGGACCGCCTTTAAAAAATCAGTACTATTTCCGAACTTTCCGGAGATTCCGGACTTGTAGACACCCTGATTTTTAGTTA